CCATTCCTACATTCAAATCAGCTAGACTCACTCTCGGCGACTTTCAAATCAACCTTGATACCCTTATAAAGCTGAGTTAAACCCTTTGTCCACCTCTTAAGCCACAGTTATCTTTTGATCCACTCCATTATCACTTTATCAAACCTTCCAATCAAAAGGTGTGTATATGAAAAAGCAATCAATCAATCGTTTCATCTTACCAAACTCGTTGCTTTGTCACTAACCTCAAACTATCATAGGTTTGTGTTCTTCAGGTCATCTTTAGTCTTATTGTGTAGATAAACTAAAATCACCTTCATTGTAAAAGCCCGTTGTGGTAAGCCAATCCTGAATGTCAGAGCACAAAAAGACTACAAATCACACAGGAATCACATACTCAAGACCCCTCAGGAATTCCCCAGGCCCTCAAACAAATCCAACACACCAGTCATCCACACAATTACCCCCCTCATGGATAATAACATCTCCCACACCTCTGAAACTCCTCAAATGAAACCCAAGACCAAATTCCCAGTTCATTCTTGATAAGAATTAGCTCACACACTAATTACACACTAGTACCCCTTCTCAATATAACCTCAAACCCCTCTAAAATATATTCCTTATCTCTTATCTCCTTCCACCTTATGCCAAGAATTACCACACAACAGCCATGTTTCATACTAGCCCTCTTTTGGCCCTTTCTTCCCTTTGTCTGTTCAATCCCCATCTGGGTGAAATAATTACCCCCACCTCTTCCCCTTGATAAGATTATCCCAGCCTCTCTCTGTTTCAGACTGAATTCATTATCTTATCTTAGCTTGGCTCTCTCTATGGTTTCAGTCTAGTCTTATCTTATCTTAGTGCCACACTAAATTAGGCCACATTGTTCATAGTTCAATTTTCTTCCTTGTTCATTCTTTGTTCCATTTTGTTCCATCCATCTTCCAACCACAAATTGGCCACTCCCCAGATTTTGTATATAAGGAGCCTTGTTTTCCCCTCTTGATTTGTTCCACATCAGAGCCTGCCCCAGCAATTCAGATAACTGATCACCCATTATTAGCCAGGTATTTGCCCATCAACATTTGGGATACCTTGATTTGTGACAAGTTTATTTAGACTAGTAACCATAAGAAATATTAGACATACCATCCTCAAGAAATCTCCACAGCCACACCTTTTTCCTTAAGAGTCCATACTCTTATATTTTCTTGTTATCAGAGAGGCAGCCCAATAAAGCACTCATCCCTCTCAAGCTCTATTCCTCCCAAGAGTAGTTCCACAAGTGGTGTCCCAACAGTGGCCCAACAGATCTTTGGTTTTTAGTCACTACCACTTACAAATTACTAGACTACATATAGACAGACACAGATTAGCTAGTTATTACCCAACTCAGTAGAAATAGAAATTAACATACCTTATCTATCATTACTACCCACCCCACCCTCACCATGAACTTTCCACCAAGAAAGAAACTCCCTGTCTGGACCTGCCCCTAGGATCAACATGGCCAATTGGGTCATCCCAGCTTGGAGAGGACAAATCTTACCCCCTCAACTACCTCCTCACCAGTACTATAACCCTGGAACCACCTTCTACCAACCACCTGCCCATAATCCAGCATTTAATCCTGGACCAATGAGAAACCCCCAACCCTCTGAAAGTGATGACCTGGACCCCTTGGAAACTCAAGAACCCCTGTACCCCCAAGGAACACCCAGTCAGCAAACAGTACCAGCACCACCAGTAAGAAACACTGTAACCCAACCCACTCACCCTCTGGAACCCAAGAAAACTACACCCATCCACTTCCTGGAAAGAGAACCAGAAATGCCCAAATATTCTGGAGGAAGAAAACCCCTCTAGTTCAAACCCCTGGATAAGGACCTCTGTTTTGACCTGCTGCTAGTCACATGTATGCCCATAGAAAAAT